TAGAGAGGAGGAGACGTGCATTGTGTGGTGTGGTGTTGCATTGTGTGGTGTGGTGTGGTGTGGTTGAGGAGAGGAAGTGGGAGTTGGGCTGCTGGTGGGGAGAGAAGCTGCGCTGCGCTGAGCGGTGCTTCCCGGCGGCCTGCGCCCTCCTGCCTGCCCCGCCCCGTCCGGCGTGCAGGATCACGGGCCACGCCGCCTTCGAGCGGGCGCCGCTGGCTGTGCACGAGCAGCTGAAGGGGCACGTGGCTGTCGGCGGCGGCCTGCTGGGCCAGTACTTCAACCCCATGACGGGGAAGGCCACCCACAAGCACGGGGCCACCATTACGCTGGGTGGGCAGCTGCTTGCTGTTGTGTATGTGTGCATGCATGCATGTGTGTGTGTGTGTGTGTGTGTGTGTTGAAGAGGGATCTGCGGCCTCAGCGGCACATCGCCAGCCTCCCTGCCTTGGATGGCATTCGGGGCACCCGCCCTACCTTTGTTTGTGGCCGTGCCTGCAGGCGCCCGGTCCGACTCCTATTACGAGTATCTCCTGAAGCAGTGGCTGCTGACTGGGAAGAGCGAGGACTGGCTGCGGAACCGATACATCCAGGCCATGCAGAGCGTGCGCAGCAGGTAGAACCGGGCTGGACGGGTGTGGGCCCAGTGCGGTGCCCAGGCAAGGGTTTGCGCTTGACAGCATGTGCATGGGGTGGCATCTTCTGGAAATTATGAGACATGCCTGGTGCTATGCTTACGGGAGCCGTCCCTGCGTGCAGGCTGCTCAAGCGCACGGCGGCGGCTGGGCGGCCCGGGCTGTGGTACCTGGCTGAGCAGGCAAAGGGCGGGGGGCTGAGCGGCAAGATGGACCACCTTGTGTGCTTCCTGCCGGGTGAGCGGCGGCGTGGATGTGTGCCTGCGTGTGTCTAGTGGGTGTGAAGTCGTGGGTGCCATACCTGCTGGCTTGCTGCTGCAGGGCTTCTGGCCCTGGGCGATTACCACGGCCTCAGCACGCAGCAGGGTGGCTTGCCTGGAGGCAGCCAGGACGATGCCAGCAGTGGCGGCAGCGAGGGAGCAGCCGGCGCCGAGCCAGGCGCGGCGCAGCAGCGGCAGCGGCGGCAGGCGCAGGGCGGCGGCGGTACCAACATGCCTGACCTGCAGCTGGCTGCTGAGCTGGCGCTGACGTGTTACGAGCTGTACCGCCGTACGCCAGCGGGCCTGGCCCCAGAGATTGCGCACTTTGCAAACAACTCTGGTGAGCGGTGTGGGACCAATGTGCCAGCCCCCTTTCGTGTCACATGTGTCCTATGCGCCACCCTGCGTATTTAGGGGCTTTAACTGCAAGAATGTCAGCCATCTGCTGTGAGCTAAAGCTATCTGGCTGTGCCTGCCGCCATGGCACTGTTGCAGACCTGCAAGACTTTCCAAACCGCCACGTGCATGATGTGGGCCACGGCGACTTCTCCATCAAGCCCAAGGTGAGCCGAGCTGAACCGTGGGAGGCACCCAGCCCTGCCCCGCTGGCCAGCCAGACAGCCAGCCAGCCTCCAGCCATTCCCACACACGCCAGAGCAAACCTCTTGCAACCTCGCCGCCCCCCTTTCCCCATCCGTCCTCTGGTTCTACCCGCATGCAGGACGCGCACAACCTGCTGCGCCCCGAGTCCATCGAGTCTTTCTACCTGCTGTGGAAAGTCACGGGGGACCCTCAGTACCAGCAGTGGGCCTGGCAGGTGCATGGGGCCTGTGGGAGGAGCGCGGGCTGCCTGGCTCTCCAAGCACACAGCTTGCTGCACGTCTCGGCTGCCCATGCATGCAGCAGCCGAGCTGGGAGGGCTGTTGTTGCTGCCTGGCGCCACAAAAGCGAGCCCAGGACTCCCCTGGCCCTTGCCAACGGTGCACTCCCTCCCTCGGCAGGTGTTCCGGGCCCTGCAAAAGTGGGCCAAGGTGCGGCCAGAGGACCGCGAGCGGCAGTGCGCCACCTGCAAGGCGGCGGCCGCCCATGAAGCCCTCCAGGCGCGAAGGGCGGCAGCCGAGGCAGCGGCGACCAGGCACGTGGCCCGGGCGGCGGCGGCGGCAGCCGCGGCGGCAGCGGCAGCAACCCACAGTGAGCAGCCTGCTGGTGGCGAGTCAACGCCTGCTAGTGAGGTGGGGCAGCAGCCGGAACAGCAGGCGGAGCTGGACAGCAGGCAGCAGGCAGACTCACCTCCTGGGGTGGGGCAGCAGCAGGAGCAGGCGGAGCAGGACGTGCGGCAGCCGCGCGAGGCGCCATGCAGCGCTTGCAGCGCCGCGGGCGGCTACAGCAGCCTGGAGTCGGTGCTGAGTGTACCGCCTCCGCGGCGGGACAAGATGGAGTCTTTCTTCCTGGCGGAAACAGTCAAGTACCTGTACCTCATATTTGCCGAGCCGCCAGACCGATGCCTGCACCCCACCTGCCCGGCTGAACACGGCAATGGCGGCGGTACTGGCAGCAGCGAAAGCGAAGACGACGGCGCCAGCCGGCAGCGGCAGCCACCGCTGCTGCCGCTGGGAAGCTTTGTGTTCACCACGGAAGCGCACCCGCTGCCCCTGGTGGGCCCTCTGGCGGCATCGCTGGTGCTGCCGCAGTGGGAGCCAGAGCGCCGGCTGCTGTACCCCTTTGGGGAGCCCCAGGCACAGGCGGAGGGAGTCGCTGGCGATGTCAGCAGCGGCAGCAGCAGCAACAGAACTTCTGACGCCGAGGGTGCAGCGCAGCAGCAGGCCAATTCAGAGCAGCCGCAACAACAGGAAGAGCATCAGGCACAGCAGCAGCCAGTGGAGCAGCAGTCTGGTGCAGGCGGCGGAGAAGAGGGTGGCGGCACTGCAGAAAAAGCAGCAGCGGCGGCGGCAGCGGCCACCAGCGCTGGTGAGGATGCTGCTGAGTTGTAACTCGCTTCCGTGAAATCCGCGCCAGCAGCAACAGGAGGACAGGAAACGAGTCAGGGGCAGCGGTGGCGAGAAACAGTCACTGTGCGGTCGGTCAGATCCTTTACTGTAGTATAGTCTGCATACAGTGATGCATCAAGCACAGCAGGCCATGGAATCTGCGCCCAACGCCTGTACCACCGTCACCAGTGCCCGCCTGTAAGTGCCCCCTAACCAGCATGGCAAAGCGCCCAGGTCTTCTCACTCATTGCAGCGCCTGCTGTCGTAATGCAGTTCCCAAGCGAGGCTGTGAGAGCACTGCTGGTTAGGGGCCATGATGGCGCGAATGTGGCCGTACCTAGCGGGGACCTGCCGCCCAGCAGCAGGAGACCGTCTGCGCGCTTCACACGTAGTCTTGAGCCAAGAAAACATGTAATATCGGCTTGCCATGCGTCACAAACCCATGCGTCACAAATGACATCATCCCATGTGTTGCCCGCTGATGTGGCACCTCCCCCGATTCGTCTGGCTCATCAGGCACGCTCTCTCCCGCGATCCCTCCCTTTCCTTCGCCTTTCAGAGTCTCTAAGGCTTCTATTTCTCCCCTCCCGCACCCCGCAGCTGCCGCAAATTTAAAATTATGAACCAACCTGTCATCCTTTATGCCTTAGAACGGCGCCAAAACGGCGCCAAGAATGTGTTTCTCACTAAGTCAGATGTAGAGGGCATCATCCGGATCAAGCAGGGCGACCAGCAGGCGCCCTCAGGCCGGCGGCGGCGGGGTGCGGGAGGGGGGGCGGCAGTGCAGGGCGGCACCAAGAACTACAGCAAGAAGGTGCTGCAGTTCTTCCAGGTGCTGAAGGGCGCTGGCGGTCAGGACATCCTGTGCCGCTGCGTCAAGCGCAGCGGAGAGTGGCGGTGGTGCCCCGTGGTGCCGCTCGAGGAGCTGCCCCGAGTGATCAAGGAGCACCACGAGCGGGCGACTGGCTTCAGCGGTGTGGAGAAGNCTGTACACACATGTGAGTGATACAAGGGGTGCAATGCTGCCGCCAGACCAACTGGAGAGTGCTCTGCATCAGGCAGCAACCGGATGA